ATTAGTCAATAATAATAACCAAAATTTTTAATAAAAGAAGAAACAAACATGGTTGAAGACAACTGTAGTTTAGTATTCGTATTTATGAGCTACGATAGACACTAAAATAAATACATACATTACCTCAAACCAAAACTATACGTGAAATAAAACTAACCATATTGAATAGATTTTACTTACCTATCTATGATTTTTATCCAATCTTCATTCATTATAATATGACACTTCAATATTAAAAATAAATACTTTACAATCTATAAAAAATTATTTATTATTTAATTTTAAACATTATATTATAATAAAATCGCATGTCGTTGATAGATATTTTATTGCCTATCTGAATTTAGTTAGCTGTAAGACCATCATTCAATGCCTAGTAATCATTAATCAAATGATATCCAAGGTCGAAATCTCAGCGCATGTTTTGATACGCATAAAAGTCAGTCAGTTGTTTTTTGTTTGAGTCAAAAAAAATATTTACCTATACCATATATTACACAATGTTATATTAGAAATTAATAACTTTATGAACACATAATACAAAATAAATGTTTATGCATGCATTAAAGTACAGACAATTCTGCACTAATAAAAACAATTAGCTTCAACAATTCGGTAATCAAATAAACAATTAAATACTTATCGAGAGTAACGCATAGACATGATGTATAATATTTACCGTTTTGTCTATAGTGATATTGCAATATTTATAAGACCATACTTGAGACGTAATCTCATTTCTGCAGTAATATTTTTGTTCTCTATTTATACAAATTATTATTTATAATTCATAAATAATGTTATTATAACTATATTTAACTTATATTACGTATACGTACCTATAAGAATAGTTATAATCGTTTCACGATGAGTGTTTATACAGCTCATCTTGATTTAGATACTAACACATTAAATTATGATTTGCAAAATTAGATAGAATAATATATTATACATTTAAACAGCACTTAATTGCTACCAAACACAATGTACAAATAGGTATACGATATTGTCTAAAACAACCAATACCAACTGGCAACTACCAACCTACGCATTGTAAAATAAAAATCATACTTATTATTTTATTAATTATTTCCATTATCAAGTGGTGGATTTAATGAGAGGGCACATGGGATCCAGTACTTTATGATATGTCAAAGTACCTGAAAATTCACAAATATTTTTATTTTGCTATAAATAAATAAGATATAATTGACATGTACTTAAATATCCGAAATTATAATACTTAAAAGACCAAAACTTATAAATACTAATACAAACATTATTTCAATCAACAAACTACCATTTTACATTTCCTCCACATCCCCTCCAAGGCCTAAAAACGATAGTTATAATTATAATATTTATTTTGTAATCAATTTCAGAATATATTTTTACGATTTTTAAACATTGAACAGTGACTTTTACTCCAGTATTTCAGTATTTGTTTCAACCACGATGTTAATGCAATTAATAGTGAGCCAAGTTAGCTGGCTTGTGACATTGAAGCAAGACAATTTTAACGCAAAAGATTTTATACAATAATCTAACTTCAGGCCATGCTAGTAGAAAACTGAAATCATTTGAAGTTGGATAATTGTAACTTCATATCTAACTGGCCAATCCAGATAAGCAACTGACAGATTTTCTCAAGCCGGAATGGACAATAGCAGAACACTAAATCGTTGGACAACACTGAACAGGACATACAAGATATGGACACCCCTTAATGTTAGAAATTTTAAATCAAGTATAAGAGACAATATCTCATGTAATTGCAGCACGGAAATCAAATAATCAAATATATTTCGAATAATTTCCCAAAAAAGAAATTTCCAGTGTAATAAAAAGAATAATAAAATTAACAGAACTCAAGACTAGTTAAATAATTAGGTATACTAAATCATAATTTGCTGTGCAAACATACATAAAATATATTATAGTTTAAATTCATATATATATATATATATATTTATTTTAATTGTTTACTGTATTGCTATCATGTTTTAATTTATATACTAATACAATAATGATAACTATTAGGTATATAATTTTATAATTTATACTGCTAAGCATAGACCAAACCATAGCACATAAATAAAAGTGCTAATGTTAAAAACATGTATAAATATTTTAGTTCTAAGTATCTAAAGAATATGACTAATGAAAGTAATACTATTGATTTTATACAATTGTATTCTACTAATTGTATTAACTAAACACATATTTCCACCATGGCTTAAAAATTAAGACAATTCTGTTACTATATTATATTATATCTTTGTTATGTTAGCTATCACTTAGTGTTTAACAAAAAAAAAAAAAAATGATAAAAACAATTTATTAAAAATGGGTCTTCAGTAAAAAAAATATAAAATTTTAAGTTCTATAAATTTCATATTTTTTTATACTTTATCCTTTAAATACATTTTACAAAATGTCAAAAGTAAAAGTAATAAATGTTTAACAACTTTATTTAGTTAAAAAGCTTCAAAATGTAATGTTGATGCTGATATTTTTAAAATTTATGACTATAATAATAAATTATAATCTTATAAATAATATGTATTAATGTATAAATTACAATATATGCATTTTGTTTGGTAAATACTTAAATTAATTAACATATATCAAATAATTTACTTACACTCACACTCATAATTCATAATATTCATTTAATAATTAGATATATTAGACAATATTTTTATTAAAATTATTTTAACAGAATAAAAGTCTTATGGTTAAAAACATTAAATACAACAAAAAAAAAAAAAAAAAACATTAAAATTATTTTTTCAAATTTATAAATCAGTTTAAAATGATCAATATTTTTTATGATGAATTAATGTTATAAGATTAAAAATATCCTTGAAATATACAATACATTTAGGATAAATACTTTTATCAAACAAAAAATAATACAATATAATTTATTTGAAATAAATTATCACATAGAATAATTTAATAAGTTAGATAAACATAATAACAAATAAAATAACTAGTAAGTGAATACTCAATATTAAGTATTTAATATATAGAATTCGAAAACAAAGTAGAAATACTAAATAACATTTTAAGCCAATACATGTTAAAATGGAAAAAATAAAAACAAAATTATAATTTAAAGTTTGTTTAAAAAGTTTACTAGTTACCAAAATATACTAAATACTTAAAATTTAAAATAGATTTTTAATTCTAACAATAATAAACTCTTCAAAAAAAAAAATATTTATAATAAAATAATATCTATACCACTAGTTATTATTTTATTAGTATAATATTAAAATTCTATCATTTAAATGTTAATCAGGGAAAACAAATTTAAATACATACCCTGACTGGTACATTAAATTGTATGAAGAAAATATATTTTAAGATAAAAGCAATCTATAAAAGACCACAGACTTCTATACTTTACCAGATAAGCAGCTCGTGACATCAAAATAACTGTTGTACCATTTTCTTGGTAGGTAATCAAATTTACATGGAAACAATATAAATATCATTGATGTATCAGTATATTACATAAATAATTTTCAATTTTAAAGGAAATTTTTCAATAATTCTAACCCAAATTATAGAATGAACTTTAATTATTTTATATTTTTTTATTTAGAATTGCTCATATATTATATTTAAAACATGTAGTTTCATATATTTAAAATTATAGTAAAGAAATCTGTATTGGAGACACATACAATATTTACATTGATACAGATTTTAAGAAATTAATTTCTCTTTGGATATTATTCCTAGCCACTGATTCATATTTATCTCTATAGAACTTTGTTGCATATATGTTAGGAATTTGTAGAAAACTTTCAAGAACCTGTCAACATAAAACAAAATTAACAAATAAAATTATACCAGCACAACAGACAGTACTATAATGTAAATGTATTTTACTTTAATACGTAATTCTTTATAAGTTTCTTCATCGAGGAAAGCATATTCTTCTCGAACATGATTCGTATATTTTTCATAATCAGCTGGTCCCATACCTAAGATGGCCATATCTACATCCAAAAAGTAATGTTTATCCTCACTTCCATAACATCCTTCAGTTTTGTGTTCTTCTGTACTATTAGTTGCACCAACTTTTAATAATGAAATAACATTATCACACAAAACTGTATCCTAGAAAGAAAAAAAAGCAATGTTTTAAAATCAAAAATATAATCATATAAATTCAAAATTCAAAAATTTACCATATTAAGTTTTGACTCTTCAGAGAACCTTCGAAAATGATTTATATTGTCCTCACTGCAGTCAGCTAACTTAGGGTCGTATTCAAAACTAAAAATTGTTTATAAATGTATAATATACTTCACCAAAACTTTAGAATTCCTACTTACTATCGAAATATTAGAGCTAAAATTACTGCATTTGGATTTTTTACTAAGCTTCTAGCACTTTCAAATTGTTGCAAACAGTCATTCAGATCATCCAAACCATGACATCGACGGTCAGGTGCACTATAACGATCCAACAACGCTCTAACCCAAACATCTCTGACCGATTCATGCACATCACTTGGCAGTGATCCATTAAAATATTTTCTCAACATCGTGAAGTTTCCTAATCAAACAGTGAACAAAGTATATCAATGTGAATAACACACAACACAGAGGGAGAAATTCACACACTCCTTCAGTACTCAGCTGTGCAGTAAAGTATACAAGTTAAATTATTGATTTTTGAGTATAAAGAAAATTAAAACTATTTGGTAGAATCTCTAACAGTAGAACTAATAACAACGAATGTTAAGTTTATTTTTTTATAATCGATGTTAAATTTGAAAATCGGAGGTATGATAATGAATTAAGAAATTAAAAATATTAAATTGGGTAAAAATTAAAAAATTAAAATAATAATTATGAATTATGATTTATAAGTTTAAAATTAAATTTCTTAATGTTATGAAAACATATTTGTTGTACTGACGTTGGTCACACTGTAAAATGTTATCAAGATAAATTGCACAATCAAAACTAAGAACAAACCTCAAGTTTTAAAAAAAATTATAAGTTACTATTTTGCTTATTAATTTTTTATAATTTTTTAGCATTTCAGACTGCAGTTATGCCCTATACAGTATCGTAAAATAATGATTAATAATCGGATAACAATGATGACAAAACAATATTAAATTAATTAGCATTTACTTACTATGAATTAATAAAAAAGTAATTATGGTTAAATTTAGAAATTGTAATTATTTAAATATAAAATTTATAATAACCGAGCTCTATTAATAATAGGAAGTTGATTGTAATATAGTATTATTTTCTCCAAAACTGACACGATCAATTATGCCATGAACTTGGATTGCCTACTACTAATCGTTGTGCTACTTACATTCTGCGTTCATTTAGCACAGCCATCTACAGGGCCTGGGAAAACGACAATTTATGAAACAGAATGTAAATATCTACGAATGGGACAATTCATGTGCCCCGATGACGGGTACGAATTTATTGACCCAGAAACTCAACAATTGCGCGGATGTACTAAAGACAATGTTGCTCAAGGTTTTGAATAACTCGACACATTTTATATTGTTTAAGTCATTAACAAACTAAATTTTGTAATTATTATTATTTTTTTTAAGTTCGGTGTAAAGCAAGTGACGGTATTGTCTGTTTAGAAACCAAAAACTCAACATTCTGGAAAGAATTCCCGTGTAAATGGACGTAAGTTTATATTGTTTTTTATCTCATCTAATTATTTAACCTAAATTACCTAATAATTTGCATTATAGCAATGGTTACCATTATGACACAACACTGCTGTTGTCTATTTTTCTGGGCATGTTTGGTGTGGACCGTTTCTATTTAGGTTATCCAGCAATTGGTTTACTGAAACTATGCACACTTGGGTTTATGTTTATTGGCCAGTTGGTCGATGTAGTACTTATTGCAACACAAATTGTTCGTCCAGCTGATGGATCACATTATATCATTCCTTATTATGGTCCTGGCATTAACTTCATACTCATGGACAACGAAACTTACAGACAACCACAAGATGACTGGTTTGTTGATCACAATGAACTTTAAAGTGTTATGAAAGATAAGATAAAAAACTACTACATATAGATTATGTTTACTTACTATTATTACCATTAAAGTTAAAGTTATGAGATGTATTAATTATTTTGTTTAATAAATCAAATTTGCTACCTAATTTGTTTCAAGTACTACCTTAAAAAAAAAAAACATTTTTATGTGGGCATGATATATAAAGAATAGTTTTTTTAACTCCAGTTGACTAACATTCATTAATTTTTTTATTTCAAGTTAATTCTTCTTTAAATAAGATTATTCTATTTGATAAAATATTTATAGAAGTAAAAAATTTTAAAATTTTATTATATTTTAACATACTGTATTATGTTTGATTTTATAAATATGTTTCTATTAAGTATATGCATATTTATAGAAATACTTTAATAATAAGAGCAGTAGTGGCTGATGTCTACAAACTGTAATTTTGTTACAATGACATGATTTTTCACATCACAAATAAGTTGTGCCGCTGTGGCATTTAATAATTATCAGTATATTTTCATAAAATTCAATATAAAGTTTAATTAATATATTGACAGTATGATTATAATGTAAAAAAAAATTATTAAAATCTGAGTATTGATTGTATAAATATAGGTAAGTTCTTCTATTACACAAAGAAATATACAAATTTGAATAGCTAATATTTTGTTGACAAGGTAGAAGAGCAATTTTAATATATTTTAGCCTACACTTATACAAAAGTCTAATTTTTCTCATGTATATCCCTATTTAAAAATATATAATGCTTAAAAAAATATAAAACCGAATTCAAAATATTAGTTCATTAATTGGTACCATATACAAATACATAAATTCACATAAATTTCTTAATACACTACAAATTATTTAATAAAGTAAATGTATTAAATTATTCTTGCAAATATTTATAAAAGCCATTTTTATAATTTGAAAACTGCACGTTTCTTCATTAAAAAAATTAATCTGACCTGTCAACTTTTAACTGATTATCAGCACTATAAGACAAGATACTTTAAAACTTTACTTATTTATATGTCAATATATTATCATTTATAATGAAATGTATAAAAAATAATAACAAATCTAAAATATGTGTTGATAAAAACCAGATAAATATAATGTTAAAAATGTGTTTTATTAAATGCTCCAAATAAATCATAGGTTCATCTTGATATAATAGTAAATATTATTTATGTCGTAATTAATTATTGATTAAGTATTACACTTAATTTATTATTTTATCAGTTTAAAATCAACAAATCACAACATATAATAACAGTAAATATTGTTTTATATAATTTCAAATTACATAGATATTAGTTAGAATGATCATAAAAGCCAATGGATACATTATTAGATAAAAGATAATAATATTTAATAAAGTATTATGGATTATAAGGTCTCTGTATAGTATTTTAGGCTTTAAAATAGAGCAATACTATTGACTAAAATAATCTTATAATATCATAATTTATAAGAGATATAATTGTTTAATAAACATAATTTAGTTTTTTCAATAACGCTAGTCTGCATAAATATTTTTTGTAATACATAAAAAGCTTTTAAAAAAAAATTTCATTGAATCATAAGTCACACTCATAAAATTATGATAACCAAATATTTAGTTAATATAAGATTTTTATTTTAAAACTTAGTAATTATTATAATAATTAATTTAGTATTGTAACACGCACTAGAGTAGTATGCAAATAAATTTACATACTAAAAATACTAACAATATAAGTAGGTAGGTAGGTACATGAGTTATGTATTATTTATAGGTACAAATAAAAAAAAAAAAATGTTAAAATTATATAAATATTACAATTAATTTATAAATATTTTATTGACGATAAAACATAAATAATAACATTGAGCCCAGCTTTTAAAGTTACGCCACTAACTATATTAAACAGCAAGATAACAAACAATATACATTTTTTAAAACAGTAAAAATTGAATATAAATAATATCATAATGCGTAGAATTTATTTTTCCTTAGGGCTCAGATGGTTAAATAATTTCTTAATCTTTGCAAGAATTTAATAAATATTTAGATTTAAATCAAATAAATACTTAATTTTTTTAAATATAAAACAAAATATATAATAAAAAAAATTACATAATATTGACTGTTTGAGAGTAGGGAAATGACATTTATAACATTTATAATATGTAATATGAAATAAAGATCTAGCTGTTAAAGTCATTTGATTCATTATTTGGCTTAAAATATTATACGTAAAATTTTACTGGACCTTTATTCTTGAGCAGTTGATCTACCCTTGACGGATTCAACTGCAATAATTCTCTACAACTAGCCAATTCAATAGGAATCATGGATTCCACTCTAGGATCTTTTTGGCAGTAGTCCACAACAGTCTATAATGTAACATAGGTAAATGTTAAGTATCGGGTATATTATTAAAACAAGCCATCCAAAATCCAGAATTGTAAATTAAAGGTGGCTATATAAAAATAGTTTATTTTATTGCTAGATTTTGAACCAAAATATTTAAATAAACTAGGTAACAGATATAATATAAAGGTATTATGTATAATTTATGTTTTATAATATTAATAAATAATAATTATCTTTTTATTTTTCATAATAAGACATTATGACATTATTATATATTTAAAACATTCAAGAAAGGCATATGTAGTGTGTACTATATTTCTGATTTACTATTATTATACATAAGTATTTATTCAAATCAAAATAGTTTTTTACTTTTATCTAGTTATATCAGAATTTGGGGTATTCAATATCAAGAAAAACCACTTACAGTAACCAGTTACAGCCTACGAACAAAATTGTCTATACAAGCCTGCAGTTGTTCCCCCAACTAATCACTAGGTTTATCACTGCTACAGACCCGTTTATTATAGCACTCATAATATATAAGCAATTATAACAAAAATGTATTAATTTTTAAAAACTATGTCAAAGTAAATTACAGGTGATTTTCTGTTTATATCGTAAATTGGTAAAGTACTTTGTAGGATTTGATAGATTGAAATGAAAAAATTTGTAAATTTAATTTTTTTTTAATTTAAAAATATAACACTTTTTAATTACTTCTATACTGTTCAAATTTTAAATTATGTTATGGTATATTGTTTTGCATAATAATAAACTATTTTTTTTATTTGAGTAGATTTTTAAACATAATACCTATTACTTATAAGTGTTGAGGACAAAACTACAAGAAATTGAAACAACAATATCAAATGGAAATTGAAAATGCATAAGAGGTAATATCTATCATTTTTTACCAAAAATAAAATGGCATAAATAATGAAAATGTTATAGGTACCTGGTAGTAATTTTTACACTGAAACAAAATCTCTAATTTAACATTCTTTTGATTGATAATTTTTTTGTTACTACATCTAGCTATATGCAAATGAGCTAACAACACTGGTTTTACATATGAATCACAGATACGTTCTGGTAACTTTCTTTGCCTAAAATCAATAAAAATAAAGTTTTAAAATGATAAATGAAATATAAAATTTAAATATTAAATAACAACACCAAAAATTATACATACACATAAAACGATTCGATAAATCTTGAATAATATTTAATGGAAGAGCTTGAGTAATAATTAATCTTCTTAATGGCTTTATCTGTAAGCACCAGTTTATTCAGAACATGTCGCTCGTACTTGATATCCATCATATCACTATACACTGTCCCCAATTCGTACCAGATGCGTCTACAATTATTCATACAATTCTCTTCATTGAGTCTATTGGCGGTCAATTCTAAGTCCACGATTCCTTTTTTAATAAGCTTTCCCATTCTATATTTTTATATAAACACAATATTAGAAAAACCAGTGCGCACATTTGTATAAATGATATACATGACATAATTTATATAATTTTATACTTGTCTGGGTTATCTTGAAAGTAAGACAATAGTTGGTACGTGAGGCATGTGTCCATACACAGATCTGAATAGTAATTGGCAGTCTTTTCAAATGTATAGTACTTTTTTGTACGATTAAGGTTCATCAATATGCTGTTAGCCAACGATAGTGCGTCCTCATAATTATTCACATAATACCGTGTCACCCGTTCTTCATTCCACATGTTGAAATTTTTGAACAATAAATCACTATAGATCACTGAAAACAGTTAACACATAACATATATTATAACATAGTGTATAATAAATTTATATCGTTCTTATATTATAAATAATTAGTCTCTTGAGACTACAAGATTATACATACCAGATGGTTGTCTATGCGTTTTCTGTTTTATCAGTCTGGTTTTAGACTTCTTCAGTAATCTCAATCCATATTTGGCCCAACAACGCGAAATGTCTGCTAAATATTGTTTATATGTTTCTGAACTGAAATATTTATTTTTTTTATAAATATTACAATTAAAATTATCTACCAAAGTGTCCAGCACCTCATCGACTGTAAGTAGGTATTTTGACTGTATTTGTTTTAGGATCCAAACAAATAAAAGTATTTAATATTTATACATTATAGGTACTAAATTGGTTATTTAATAACTTATTTTATATAATCTTACTGTCTTAGTGACAGCAAGTATAAAATGTTTCCACATTATTAATTACCCACTTATCTGTATAGTTATATTTATATAACCTTATTTAACTCATTAAGATGTATATACATCTAAAATAGGTAATACAATAGCCTATAACTATTAAAAAAATTTTTTCTCTACAGTATCAATCTATCTGATCTATTTAAATTATATATATTTTTTTTAATAATTAATATAACTACCTACCTATTTATATTTTAACAATAAATTAATATGCACATATATACAAGTAATTGTATAAAGGTACTTTCAAATGCATTCAATTCTTTCTTTAAACTGTATTATAAAGATTAATTTAAGTTTCCTACGTTTTAAAATCAAAAGTTATACAGCAGGTACCTTAAGGTAAGTAAAAATATACTAAATACCTAGATAGATATTTTAATTATAGCCAATTTTACTGTTTATTTAAACTATTTATATTTATTGCTAATAATACTTAAGTATTAAAATATTAAAATATTAAATATTCATGCTAACTAAAGTTTAATAAATGTTATGAATTATCTGAGTACAACAATTATTGAGTACCTATATAATATATTTATTTTGTATACTCAATGGTAATAGAAATACGCACTTGAATAGATTGACGTATTGTTTAGGTATAATCTTTTCCATGAATGTTGATGCAGCCGCCAAATGATGTCTGGCCTGTTGGTAAGCATTCTGTTGGCAAAGCAAATTTGCAATTAGAGCAGAAGACAGAGCCCAATCCAGTGGACTTTGTAGAAACACATTGTTTTCTAGTTGAATCTTGAGTGTTTGATGTGTGCACAAAAGCGCGTCAGTGATATTGCCATGATGCTTATACACTTCGATGATATAGAATAGCGTAAACAGTCTTGCATTTATCAGAGGATTCTTGTTCGTGAGCAATGTGCGTTTTATCGGAAAATTCGGCAACAGCTGACCAACGGACGTAGCCGATCCCCACTTTAGCTCGCTGTACTCTTGGTACACACATTGCGCCTCCAGTAAGTATTGCAAAGCTCTTTCGTAATCTTCATTATTTTTTACCTTAATGTAACCCAGCATATTGAGGGAATTAATAACGCTTAGTATATTGTCAGCTTCTGATTCGTGATCTTTGACAGTATCTTTGGCCTTGAGAAACATAGACTCAGCCCTTGCTGGATCATCTTCTGTGTCATAGTATATTCGTCCTAACTGATAGCACACGGCCGCTAGACATGAATTATATTCTCTTAATTGAGACCCGTTTGTTGAATTTACCTGTAGCACAAGTATTTGATACCTTTCTTCTAAGTTTTCTTTTGAATTTAAGTTGGATTCATACGGTTGGAGAGTTAAATTTGAAAGACCCAATAATTCGGAATGATTAGATGCATTACTGTTGTCATACGTATTTGCGTGAGCCATTTTGTCACTGTGAATAATGATCTAATATCTCTAATGATCTTTATGGCAATTTTATATTCTAAAAAAAAAAATAAAAATAAATATTCAATTAAATATTGATAATTTCTATATATGGGCCATAATAATAATTATAATCTATAACTAAAAATGATTTAAAATTGGTTTTATATTCACTTCAAATACCTAGTTAAGTTTTCGTCTAGTATTAAGCCTTTATTAGTATTATTACTATAAATAATCGTAAGTCATGGTTATAAAAGTATTTAACTTTTTCAAAATAACGACATCTTCCGGATTCCTTAAGTGCGAATTAGAAATATTATTTTATTTAATTAATAACCGTTTATCATATGTCTAAACACAATACATAACTTCTTATAAAAATTATACAATTTAAGAAATCACATAGGTATAATAACGAAATTTTCTTTAGTAATAAATCTACTATCTACATAATTATTGTGTTTCATTCATAAGCTCATAATTTTTTTAATTAATTTTAACGCCATAAGTGCTCCGATTAAGCTCGGCTTAATAGCATTTAACATCAATCGAAATCGAGTACAATTACGCAATCATTAAAGGTGGAATTGTCCCTGGATTTCCTTAACCCTTTACCATTTATTTTTGAGCCGTATTTAAGTAATCGTACCATAGGCGTGCGCACAGGGTATGCAGGGTATGCCACTGCATAGTCTACAGCTACATGTGAGGGCCCATATTTATTATAATATCATATTATTAAAATTTAATAGTATTAAAAAAATACATATAAAAATTTTTTTTTGGTTTTCTTACGACCTACGTGATAATCTAAAATATAGACGTATCATTAAATCTTGTTATTACAGTTTCCAACATTTCCAACCAGAAAGTAACATTTAGATATTATTATCTATGTTACAACATAAAAACTTTAGGTATATAGAATAATAATTATTGTTTTTATGGTTTGTAATCAAAGACTATAATAATAATATATACTAAGTCCGGCGTATAGCCATATAGGACGGTATTATTAATAATATTGTTCCATGTCACTGGTTGGATAAAATGATAAGTAAGATTTAAGTTTTGTTATTTTTGATTTTACCGCCAACCATTACTGATAGACAATAGAAATTTTTACCTTAAAAAATTGAAAACTATTTTGGACGAACTGATGTTTTTTGCCATAATTCGTGAATTGTTTATTTCTTATTGACATTAGTTCATTAATTCTTTTAAAACTTACTACAGTACGTTGTTTAATATTTTATTGTAAAACTATGTGTGATTTTAGATTCTGAGGGATGTAAAGAAGCTAAGTAGCATATTTGTAAAAACTTAGATTGTACCAATATTGAGTCCTATATATGGAAGAAAATGTTTAACGGCTTAGAATCTTTTTTAGAAATTTAAAATAAATTATTTATTCTTTACTTTCTATCCTATCTTAGGTTGCAAGATATGTTGCGTGATTTTTTTTTCTTGTGAGGAGCCCTATTTTTTTATTGCACAACCTGCGAATAAAGTCTGCGCACGCCTATGAATCGTACCAAGTGATAAATTATATTCAGTATCAAGTTTAAATTTAAAAAATAATATTTAACAATAATACAAATATCACAAAACAAAAATATATAATATAATATATTATTTACTCTCCTTCAAAAATGTCTAGTCGCGATATTAATCGAATAGATACCATACAATTTTTATGCATACACAAATTTCAAAAAAATGATTTATTTAGCAGTCCGAAAATTTATTAACATTAATATTGATATACTGTACATTTTCAAACCATCAATAATATAATTTAATAATTATATAATAGGAATATAATATTCGTGTACATGCAGAACACGGTTATTATTATATGAATACGAATACACACCAATACATCACTTACCAGTCGTGCGTTGGGGCCTGAGGATAAAAAATAAACAATATTTTATTAAAAGGAACTCAAAAAAGAAGTCAGTTTCGATCGCGGAAAACGCAGTATAATAACGTCACGAGTATAAGAGTTTGTGTGAGAGTATATGAAAAATCAATAGGTACCCGGTCGGCGGTCGTCCCGATTCCCGGGAAAATCATAGGTATCATATGTATCAATATTACGATGCAAGGAGAGTTACCAACCTCTTTTGCTGGTCGTATTTTTAAGTCATAATAATATGTATTTATATTTTATTGAATATAAACCGATAACTTCCGACAAAAAGTTAGTCTATACACTTCAAGTACTAATAAAACATAACACACAATTTAAACAATATATCGGTTATTTAAAATTGTTTTATTTTACTGAGTACTTTTTTACACGATCTCTATCGAGGAATTCTTTTTTTGTCCACTCCAATTTCTTGTGAATTATAATCTAGTTTTATAACGTTTATATCATTTGCTACATAATTGTTTTTAACCTAGTTTAAAAGTGTAGTATAGGTAATTAATGAATTTTGTAATACGCAGGGGTAGACTGGCCATGCTATATGAGATCAGTCGGCATTTTCTTTTTTAATTGAGACAATACATAAATAAACATGTATAGATTAGACTAACGTTCCTAACTACAATGTACGTTAATTTAAAATAAAAAATTAACTTAAAATACATAAGGTTAAACTAGTTAAATGTCTATTTTTTGAAAAACATTTTAGTTGCATTTCCCAAATTTTGATTGTTTACAGTTTTTTTCATTGAACTAAATTTAATTCTAACAAATATTACTTGTTACATTCTAGTTTAGATTTTTTTAATTATGATAAAAAAATTTAAAAAAATATTAAAATTATAAACATTAAAGAATATTTTACTTTTTTACAACTTATCCTACCAAAAGTCTCTTCATTTTGGTTGAAATGGCGACAATCAATCAATAATAACGTCATTTAGTATTTTCATATCACGTTCAAATTACATTAACATTAAAACTAAACTTCCAATTTTTCATCAAACAGCGATGACCTACTGAATGTTTACGTATTTAACAACTCACTTGTCCCTGTATCGGTGTGAAGTGTAGACTGTACTGTCTGTACTACTGTAGTAGAGCATCAGAACGTAATGATGAAATAAAGCTACCTACTGAAATCAGTTATCAGTTATAATTTCCCCATATAAAAGTTTTGTGAACTTTATCTGTTCTAAAATGAACTACTATGTGTACAAACTATCCTATACCCGTGTTTTAAATAAGAAATAACAATAATAATATAATATTATGTTTATTTATTGTATAGGTATTGTAAACTTGATATTGGTCGTTTTAGAAAAACCATTAATAAGCAATAAGCCCATAATATTCTAAAACGAATACAATTGACTATCCAACTTATTTAGGAAAAATAAAAATCAAAGCATACAGAGTAAACATAAAATAGGCGAGGAGTCAATCGACGATCGCCGACCAGCCGACCGAGCCAGTCCGCTCCTGAACTAATACATATACTAGTGTTTCCAGAAAGTGTACCGTGACACACTGGTTTGCCGTGAAATTTTAAGGGTGTGCCCCAACAACTTGAACTTTGAACTTTATATACATATATATATAAATTATAGACCACTTATATTTGGAAAGTATATAATATTTATCCAAAGTGTGCCGTGACTTACACTAACTAATAATAATGTGCCACGATGGAAAAAAGTTTGGGAACCATTGACATAATATACTACCTATACTTTTTTTTATTTAAATAATATATATTATATAAAATACAATCTATTAAATAAAGTAATAAGTAAATTCTTTGTAATTGCATAAGAAATAAAGAAAAAATTCACATGACGTTAACTTGTGGAGGAAACGGTTTACTGATGCACTACATGCTATTAATTATTAGAGTAGAGATATGGCTTATAAAAATGTTTACAAGTATGATAAAAAAAGGAAAAAATCTTAATATCAAGTACTCTTGACAACGATTACATGATTACAATGATTACTTTTATAATTTGCAATTATGACTTGTTTTCTTAATTCTGAATATATTTTTTATGTATAAATATATTAATTACATAAAAACGAATATTTATCTTAACGATAACGGATTTACGCCTTGTTTTAAACATTCATTGAATCTATCTCGAGTTTTTTCGAATTATATCCTAGTGAAAATTTCTACTATAATTACGAATCGTACGCCATGTCCGGAACACAAAACCTTATAGTTTTGAAATTCGCACGACATTCTCTCCCCAATAAAATGTAAAATACGCAGCAGTAGATTTAGCTTCAATCACCATATAAGTTGTATAAATCTTAATTTTTAAATTTTGTTTTCCGTTCATAGTAATATATATCTTTCCCATGAACAAAGAAACCTTGCAAATTTAAACTTACATATATGGATCCCACATACATATATATTTCTAGTCCTATGCTAGTAAATTATGATTTTCAACATTTTATTTTTACGAATCTAAAGCAAGTATACGCTATTTCCTCTAATAGAATACTATATAATCAATTATGGTAGTGTAAAGTAAAAACTGCAGTTTAATTTGATTTTTTAACTCAAATAATTACTACCAATATTAAGTTCATTATGAATGATTATATAGTGATCACTCCATGGAGTACTGTCGAAAAAGTTGATCAACGTTTATAAAATGTATATGAAAAATTAACTCGAGTTTAATAAATAAATAAAAATGTGAGACGAAAAATTGATATTAATAGACAAGAAAAAAATTCATATTAAATGATTTACCTAAAGCTGAAGACTGCAGCATAATCTGATTTTTAAGTACTAAGAATTATTGATTAGTAGACCCTAATACCTAGACTTGCTAAAGTCACCCTCTCTACCACCACTGATAAACGTTAACTTGTCTACAGAGTAAAATAGATGACAATCTTGCATGCAGTATACAAGTGTAAAATGTACGTAAAAAATTATGCAAATGTTGGTATGATTATATAGTATAGATAATTAAATAAAATACTATTTGACGAAAATGAAAGGATTGGCATTATCCTTCGTCTATCCGTTGTAATTTTAAAAATTGATTAGAACTTCGCGATAGGTATATATCCGTTTTCGAATAAATTACGTACCTATAGGTACTAATAAATAGGTAGAATGTACTTTGTATTATGTGTTTATTTATACTATTATATTAATGTATGATATATTTAGCTACGGTCCATATTATCTGACGTTAATTTACTCATTAGTCATTATTTTTTTTTTTTCATTTATTAATTATAATTGTTTCAACAAAATGTTTGTTTTTACAATTTTTTTTTTTTTTATACATTTATATTATTCATACATTTCATATATAGAGTAATACAATTTGTACATTATTTTAGTTTTTTAGTAAAATGAATTTAAATTATGAGTTGTTTAGTTAGGTCATTGTTCTGATGATACCGATGATGAAGATGATTCTGGAGGTAGCAAGATGTCTTGAGGTAGCCGTGGCTTTAGTCTGCGGTTTTTAGTTATTTTTCCAATTTTAAAGTGAAGGACGCCTTCTATTGTTTTTAGTTTCGTGTGAAATTTTTAAAATTGTTCAATTATCTATGTGTTTATATATGGTATACTAGTGTCATTATGGAGTTGTGTGTTTCGCATGAACCATGGGGCTTTAAGAGCTATTCTGAGAAATTTATTTTGTATTGTTTGTAATTTTTTAATTTTTGTTTGGGATGCGGCTGCCCATATTGGGCATGCATATGTAATTAATGGTCTTATTATTGATGTGTATATTAGAAGTGAGCATTTAATTTGAAGTGTTGAGCTGTAATTTATCAGGGGGTATAAGATTTTCAATCGTGTATAGGTTTGGTTTAATTTTTTATTTATATGCATTTTCCATGTTAATTTTTCATCAAGGTATACTCCGAGATATTTAATTGATTGATCTTTATTATTCCATAGTATAGGCTGATTTTTGATTTTTAATTGGGTTGGATTTGTATATCTTTTTAGGCTAAATATTTTAGCTTCGCGAGTTTCCATCTTGTAAACCAGTCTGAGATTTGATCTAAAGAAATTTGTAGATCTGTTATTGAATTTTCAAGATTTTTATGTTGTGTTAAGATAACAGTATCATCTACGTACATTGCTAATTGGCATTTTTGTGGAACTGGAATATCATAGCAAAAAATATTAAACAAGGTGGGCCCAAGGACCAACCCCTGTGGGACTCCTGCTTTTATTGGATGTTCTTCAGAGGTATCAGTATCTATCCTTACTTTAAACGTGCGATTTGTGATAAAAGAGGCTATTATATTATACAGATAGGTTGGCATTTTTAGTTTTGTTAATTTGGACATAAGACCTTGGTGCCAGACCTTGTCAAAGGCCTGTGCGACGTCAAGAAAGGCAGTGGTTGTATATTTTTTATTTTCAAATCCATCTACTATTATTTCTGAGATTCGCTAAAGTTGATGACATGCGGAGTGGTGAGGTTTGAAGCCGAATTGGTGATGTGGAATAATTTTTAGGTATGGTTTCATTCTGTGTAGCATTATCCTTTCTAATAATTTGGAGAGGGTAGGTAGCAGACTAATTGGTCTATAGCTTTTCGGTAAACTGTTTGGTTTCCCAGGTTTGTGTATAGGAATGATAATTGCTTGTTTCCAGGTATTTGGAAAATATCCTATTCTTAAAATGGAGTTTAAAAGACTGGCTAAGAACGCAAGTACTTTTGGGGTAAGGTTTTTGAGAATTTTATTGGCAATAAGGTCGTGTCCAGGACTTTTTTTATTTGCAAGTCTGTCTATAATCTGTTTTATTTCCCGAGGACTGCATGGCTGGATATTATTTGTTTCTGTGGAATAAATATTTGTAGAGTCTATTTCCTGTGTTATATCTTTGGTAGTAGCCTCGGTTGTGAACAGTTTTCAAAGTGCTAGGCAAAAATTTTGCATTTGTCAATGTTTGTTTCGAATTTTGCTAGTCCAACATTAAGTGGAGGAATAGTGTCTCTTTGTTTGAGTATTCTTTTTGTGGCGGTCCATAGACTGGCGTCATTTGGATTCAGTTTTGATAGATATGTTTTGTAGGATTTAAATCTATTGTTAAGTCATTATTTAAATATCATACAACGTTGGATTATAGAATTATTCTAATAACTCGCGTAATCTGATAATCTGATAGTATTGAGGTTTCATTTTTTGGTTATAATGATTATAATATACTCTTATAGTCATATTATGCATATTATCCAAATATATAATACGATCGTAAGTAGGTACCTATAATAACCTGACGTTTAATTTTTAATTGATTCGTTGAGTTTCGTTTAATTTTTGATAGCGCTTTCAGTGATAACAACAAGTAGATTAGAAATTTAGACCGATGATAATAACAATTGATAATTGATGCTTGACCGTTTTGATATTGGATTTTCGATCGTCAAATATTCAGAAATCAACATCAACCGTCAATGATGATGTGTCTCGTGACGTGATCGCAGGCTCCGACTTTTTAAAACTCGACACCCGTTCGCGCTCACGCCACGTCATGTACGACCCACCGCCGGAACGTCCGTCCGAATCGGATTGCTGCGGTAACGGATGCGTGGAATGCGTGTTCGACGTGTACGACCGAGAGTGCGCCCGTTGGCGACGTCGTCGGCTCGGGGCCGGCGAGGGCGACCGGCTGCGACGGGACTTGCTGTCGGCGACCAAGCACATGCCGTACAGGATCGTTTCCGCCCGGCCGCTCGCCGACGACGTGCACGCGTACAAGTTCGCGGCCACGCCGGCGGCCGTCGGCCGGCTGCCGATCGCGTACACGCAGCACGTGAACGTCCGGCTGGCGGACGGCCTCGGCAGGCCGTACACGCCGGTGGCCCTGGGCGACGATGATTGCTCGTTCGACGTCCTCGTCAAGGCCTATCCCGGCGGACGGTTCACCGGACGTTTGTTGGAAATGTCCGCGGACGACGTCGTCTCGGTGCGCGGGCCCGTTGGCGGTGTGCAGTATGACGGATACGATTCGATAGTGATGTTTGCCGGCGGTACCGGTGTGGCCGCCTTCGTGGGTCTGATTGGATCGGTGTTAGACGACGATAAGTGCGAGACGTTGCTGAGACTGCACTACTCGTGCAAGACTCTCGACGGGGTGCTGATGCGCAAGGAGTTGGCCGGTTATGCGGCTTATTGGAATTGTGCCGTACACCTGTACTTGACGAGGGAACACGATTGGTCTCAGTGTTCAGAGTCGTTTTGGTACAATGAAAATATAACAGAGGGAAGAATAACACAAGACTGTATGACTAAAATAATCGATAAACAACAAAACTTGAGAACATTATGGCTCATTTGTGGAAATGATGAGTTTAATCAATATGTTTTCAATTCGTTAGTAAACTACAATATTCAACGAGACAATATTCAATTATTAAATAATACTACAAAAGATTTTAAAGTATCTTGATGTTGTATAATTAGGTGTCCTACTAGTAAAATAAAAATTTGAAAATTAACTAGGTATTTAATTTCTCAAATTGTTAAAATTCAGCTATTTTATTTTGAAAAAATGTTAATAGAATATGGATTATTTTTTATTGTTGACGATATAACAATAATTTATGAATACCACAAATTTTTTTTAGTAAAATATAATTTATCTTTTCATTATATTTCAATGCAGTAGGTATGCAAGAATTTGAGTATAAATACTTAAAAGCAGTAAATATATAATATAAACTGGTTAAGGAAAACCTCTTCAAAAGTCCAAATGTATAAAAATAATTATAGAATATAAAATACAGTCAACAATATTTATACAAAGGTACAAAAGTAAAACTAAATTTATTTCCATTTCACTGAATGTTTCTTTAAAATAAATAGTAAAAACTGATTGAATACTAATCATTTGCTATATTATGTTCTTCTTATCTTATGACGACACATTCTATAATAGTGATAGTTAACTCCAATTTGCTTAAAATGTACTAAATGTACTTGATGTATAATATAATATGTAATTCATGTTGATTACAAGACATAATACAATTAACAGGTAGTGATGATATTTGACTTTTTCATTAATCTTGAATCTTGATTATTATAATTTATAACCCACAATTGATTTTTTTTTTAACAGGTGTAATTAAAAAAAAACCCATGATATTTTTATTAATGTAATATTTTATTTCAATAAATAAAACAAAATAATCAATGTAAACAAATTATATTTTGGGAATTAAAAAAAAAAAATTTAATCTCAAATATTATATTAGACATTATTTAATTTAACAACAACAGTAATTCAACTGGGTATTAGTTTTCACTAAAATTAAAAATAAAATATAGAAAATATATATAATATATAAATACATACATATGTTTTAACTTAATAATTAAAATGATCAGTAAGTGACTCAAATATTTTGTTATACATGATAAACAAATCATCTACTCATTAAATTTTTCTCACATTAACTTTTACATAACAATTTCACTGTATGAGTAATTTACAAGTTTACAAATAAGTAATAACAATACTCAAATTAAATCTACTACTTAAAAGCTGCAATTTTTTCAAAAATGATAAGAAATTTACATATGTTATAATAACTCAATTTTGATTACCTACTTAATGATCTAGGTAAATATTTATAGTAAAAAACACTTATAAGCACACCATAAGGAAAGCTGCTTTATTTATAAGTTTGTTGGTATCAAGTATGATATTTCATGAGTCATTATTTTTCAACAATTAATATATTTGTCTAAGCACAGATCACAAGTTTTCATTAATAACTTTGTTTAACTGTTAATAATCTTTAATTATTGTTATTACTATAATTCATTACACATCATCGTCAGATTCCGTATATTGCTGATGACCACGCATGGAGTTTTTTTCATGTCAGAATATAGGAGGTTCATCTCTATATCGCCTGTCTCTATACCTATCTAAGTGAGCATCATATGCACGTTCTGCTTCTAACCAATCTTGGTATTTGTACCACCATTCTTCCCACTTGACATAATCAGTTAATGTAAGATCACCTAAATACCCTTGATCTTTATAATAAGCATAACGACCTTTAACATCTTCAATAGATGTACCCTCTGGTAATGACCTAATAAAAATACATGATTAATTTTGATAATTAAATTGGTATTTCAAATATTTACCCTAAAGCCGGAGTAGGAAATGGATGAGGCGGTGAACCAATTTCAACTCTAAAATCGTCACCAGCTGTTACACGAAGACTCCTTTGTGGTAACTCATGGGCACGACCCATTTGAGCCATCTTACTAAAACGTTCAGATAATGTTAATTGACCTCCAGAAGAAGAACTCATTGGCATATCTGAACCACCAACACTAGATTCTTCTTCAGACATTGATTCTACCTTTATTGTTGGTTGATGTAAAACAGCCTAAAAAGATTAACACATTAAGTAAAACTTTAAAATATAATTTAAGATTTAATTAATTTATGTATACAGTTTCAATTTGTGAAGACTTTGATCTATGTGATTTTTTCTTTTTGTGCGATTTCACTTTTTTGATACGTTTAGTTTTAGTAGTTACAGGCTCTGGAAGTGGACCAGTTTTAGGTAATCCAGTAGTAGAACTTACTTCTACTACAGGTGTGTACCTTGGCACTGAAAATGATCTTGATCTAAAATAAAAAAAAATATATATTAAAAAGTCAAAAAAATATAAAATTAATTAATTACCTAGAACGTTCATGTATAGGAATAACAGGTCTGGACATTTTTGGAGATTTTGGCCTAGCTAATGGTTCTGGTGGTGGTTCACGTCTAGCAGCAGGTAGTCTAGCTTCACACACCGAACAATGAGAATCTGAACATGAACTAACACTTGATGAACGTGCCTAAAATATTAATTAATAATTATATAACCATAAAAAATTTTTCTTACAAAATTAAAAATATACCTCCTCAGCTGATGATGTTCGAATACGTTTAAGACCATGTTTTTTAGCCCTTCTTCTTTTAGGGGGTGGCGAAGTTATTCCTATTCTACGATTACGACCAAGTAAAGGAGATCTGCGTCTCCTACTTAATGATCTAGACCGCCTAATACGTGAACCATTGGCTGTTGGTGACTCTGAAGTAGATCTACGTCTTCTTCTAGAATGTAAAGTTAAAGGAGATTTTCTCGTTCGGTATGGTGAACGGCGTCTACTTAATGGAGATCCCCTTCTAGGTGATAATGATCGGCGTGATCTTCTTAAATCGGGAGATCGTGAAAGTGGTTTACGTCGCTTATGGGAAGGAGATCTACGTATTGACGTACGAGAACAACTAGAAGAAAAGCTACTAGATGAACGCCTACTGATTGACCTAGATCTTCGATCACTATACATTTCTTTAAAACCAGAATGTTTCCATCTATAAAAAAAAAATTATATTTAAATAAGTTATTTGCATATGTATATATATAATATAAAATGCTTGCTAAAATTTAAAAAAATAAAACACCTCCCATAATACTATTTTAATAATAAAAACATATATTTTATGACTACTACAATACTAAATATTGTTGTACTGATAAATCTTTTTGACCATTTTAAAATTAATAAACTTTAATATTTCTATAAAATATACCATATTTATTTTTTGCTACAATTTAAATTGTTTTATTAATAACTCATTTGCTATAATTTTTAAAGGAACAAGAAAAAATTGAATAGCAATGATTAACAACTTAGATATTTTTGTTGATGTACAATACATATGACATAAATATAATGAAAATTAATTTTAAAAGGTTTCAAATGTACTCATATATTGAGAATAATTTTATTATATCAATTAGATTTAAAATCAATAACATAAAATTAACCAAAAAAAGAAAATTAAGTTAAATAATTTCTTAGAAATAAAGCACTTAATAAAGGTATAAAAAAAAACTCTAGTTGACTATATTTTATAATATTAAGTATAAAATTATCAAGAAATTCATTGTTAAATATTAAATATATATCTATATTTTGTCTAAAATAAAATACTTAATAGTTAACTTATTTTACTTTTTTGTTAACTATGTATAAATGTTTAATATTATATTATATTATTATATATTAAATATAAACTGAACATATACATTTAACTACTAATATTGAAATTTGAATGTATCATTAATCTTATAAATTATAATTTAACAACATATAATAAATAGATAACGTTAAACAATTTAATATACCTGTTTGGATCTTTTTCTTCAGCTTCTAAGACTTTGTTAATCCAATATTGACTTTGATCTCTATCTTTTCGAGCTCTCTTAACAACATTTTCTAGTTCTCTTCTGGGTGATTCTATAGTTAATAATAACACACAATTGTTAAGTATTTAAATTTCAAAGTCTATGAATTATAAAATACCTTTAGATCTGGCACGACTTGATGAAGCTCTCTTATCACTTCTATGCCTTTCATTTCTAGACATGTTCAATCCTAAAAAACATTACATGATACAATATTATAAAACATTAAAAATAATAAGTAAATATTATCAATATATTATCACATGTAACACAACATGGCCATTAAATAATGATTAAATGTAATTGAACAATTTTTGACGTACTTCATACCATTAGCCAAGCTGTCAGAATTACTTGAATTCATATATGCCAGGTGATGAGTTGCAACTCATAAATGAAAACACCGAACGAAAGGAATACATTGGACTTTCATATAATAGGATAATGTTTATACATATTATATAACTAGTACTTTTGAGAAACTCAATATTTAAAATATTTCAGTTCTACAGTAATAATACAATTTTAAGATGAGTGTAACAAAAAAATGTTTTCATGATTTCTAGTAATAAATTCAAGCAATAGATATTTAACATGAAAAATATGGATTGATTGTATGAGTATGAGTATTTTTCTAAAATGTCATTATAGTCAATTGAATTAAAAATTTAAAAAAGAATCACATAAATTATTGAAAATGATAAGAGTTCAAGGAATATATACTAAATTACAATTGGACATAAATCTTAAAACAGTAAGAATACAGGTAACAGAAAATTAAACTGATTTCTGCAAAAGATTATAAATAATCAATTTCATTATGTTTATAACACTATGTAAGGGTGATTATCCAAGAAATGGTATGAAAGAAGCAAATGGATAATTAATACATTTTAAGATATATTGATTGGATACAAGTTAGCAAAACGATTTGCTAAAGCTTAAATATAGGTATATACTACAAGCGGCATTACATATGCAATTGAGTTTTGAAAAATACTTTCAGTAACATCATTGAACATGTCAAACGTATACAATTGAGAATTAATGAGAAGCTACCCGTACGCTTCAGGAAGCAAAATTTCCACTAGATTCGCGACGACTGAACAGCAAATGGATTTTAATTTGATGAACGGTTCCCGGCGATACGCGCCGATCGAAGGCACAATGTAATAGTGTCGCGCAAACATTATACTATTATCGGACGGAAACGGCTCGCGTTCAGCTCGACGGATCGGATAACTTAACATTCTACGTGCAC